CATCTATGTCTTTGACTAAAATGAGACTGTCATTTCCATATCTTAGGTAAATGGAGTTTTTTTTTTGCAGTATTAAGCAAATTATTTTCAAAATTAATCATGTACTTCAGAAAATAAAAAATATTTGAAAGAAAATTTTGCTGTTTTTTAAAAATAAATTTTCTAAGGCTACTAAGAAAATAATCCACAAACAAGAAAGGATCACAACAAAACACAAACTAATGGACATATATATATATATATATATATATATATATATATAAGTTTGACTTTCAAATTTCCCCCTGAAGATGACATTGGAAAAAGTCGAAAGTACTTGAGTTTAAAAGGAAAAAAAAAAACTAAGGTGTCTTTCTAGATGAATTTCATTTCAACATCAAGAAACTGATTAGACAACTTGAATGGAACAGTATAAAAAAAGTAGACACAATGTCTATATTGTACAATGAAACATGTTTGAATATATTGTAAATGAGTTATCAAAATAACAGTAGAAAGGATCACAACAAAACACAAACTCATGGACATGATATATATATATATATATATATATATATATGTGTGTGTGTGTGTAATTTGATATGTTTATAGTTATTTGATGATGTACTGTAGTCAGTTTTATTTCTGTTGATATTCCTAAAAGTTTTTCTAACTTGTTCATCAACAATTAGGGAAGTCATTATTAATTAGAGTTTGTTTAATATTTTTAATTCTCTTATATAAAGGGCTTCAATGAGTTTTAGTTTTGCTTATTATTATTTTTATGTAATATAAATGTATTTTCAACTAATATCTGTCTAATCTGTGAGTGTGAGCATGAGTGTTCCTTTAAATGCTGAGATATTGGACTATGCTCATCCATATGATATGTAACCCTTTTTGTTAGAATCGTCATAGTAAATCCAACTTACGTATTGACATTTTTATCAGAGATACAATCTCCTAAACGACATTTAAATAGATATACAATGTTGTCCTTTCGCAACATGCTAGTTAGTAGAGAAGAATTGTTTTGGACAACAAGGTTGGTTGTATTAAATTTAGTATAGTATAGAATTAATTTTATTTTTTTTACTTGGATCACTGGTGTATATATTTGTATTTATGAATTTTTTTAGGATTTTTTCCTCCTGTCTATATTTGGAATGCATTTGAATACAATATAGTAATTTGATATGTTTAGAGTTATGTGATGATGTATTGCATTCAGTTTTATTTATTATAATATTCCTAATAGCTTGTCTAATTTTTTCATCAACAATTAGGGAAGTCATTATTAATTAGGGTTTGTTTAATATTTTTAATACAGTGTATATCTTTTTGTTGAAAAATTTGTTTTTTGCATGGTTTCATATAATAACTATTTTGTAATAATTAGGACATTCACTTTTATAGTTGTGAGCACACATGTTTATACTAGTTGATTTTTTATAAGAAGAGGTTACCAAGAAATTAATCTGCAAAATTGAAAGCGTCACAATTTCTAAGTTATTTAACCAAACCTGTTTGTATGAGCTCTTAAAATATATTTCAATTGAGCACTCTTGAGAGACAGCCTAATTCTACAAACAGCAGCTGCCTACGCTAAAAATGCAAAGCTCTTCAGTAAAATGAATTTGAGCACTCTGACTGAATGACATTTGTTTACATTCGTAAAAACAATATGCTAGAATTAGCAGTTTCTCTCTGCCGAGTGTTGATGTCTAAGGAGCAGAAATTCCGACTGAAACTGAATCGCTTGGGATTTGATGCTGGCTTCAGGTTTTTGGGCATCTAGTTGCACTGAGGAGCTGTGATACAGTGAAACAGTACTGTCTGTTAATGACATATATATATATATATATATATATATATATATATATATATATATATATATATGTATGTATGTATGTATATGTATATATATGAAGAAATATAGTTTTAAGGTGTGCTATATTTACAGGATAAAATACTCAATATCAGAGATAGAGCGTATGTAAATATAAATATAAAGTGAACATTGAAGTCAACACTCAGAGGCGACAGGCTGTTTCAGCCTAATGATAGCGTCTAGCATGAAACAGCCTGTCGCCTCTGAGTGTTGACTTCAATGTTCATTTATATATATCAATACCTGTACTCAACAGGGGTGAAAAAAACTCCAGATAGTACAATTTGCAAATAAAATTATATTTAAACAAAGTGGTATAAGGGAAAAAAATTCAGAAAAAAACTAAAAAACTCCGTGTTGGTCGAAAAAAAATCACCCAACACCACAATGCTTAGCCAAAAGAAAAAAAAAACAAAAAAAAACAATTGAGTAAAATAATTAAAAAACGTAAAAGTGCTCAATACAGTAAATAACACAAAGTATAAAAAATCCTTGTGAACCAGGAACTAACTACCAAGGTTTCACTTAATGGATCTTCAGGGCTGAACTGGCCCTAAAGGCTTAGCTCCAACTCCTAGTCCAACATTTGGCTCAGCGATTAGAGAAGTGGACAAACGGCAAGCAGATAAGTTGCCAAAGGCTCTAAAGCTAGTGATTGGTAAGAAATGTTAGAGTCAATTTAGCCATGAAAAACCGTTAGGTGAAAACTTGGTAGGTAGTTCCTGGCTCACTAGGATTTTATATATATATATATATATATGATAAGACAAAGAACAAATAAGAAACATTTATCAATCTAACAAGTTTCACTTTTATTAAAGCTTCATCAGAAATTTTGGTATTTTTACTTTTGCGTTGTTTGATTTTCATTGGTTAATCAGGTTTCACATGCAGTTGACTTGTTAAACAAATGTTAGTATAATTTATGGTGTTCTGAATTCAAGGAGATGATGTGTGCCTTTGAAGTTCCGAGAAATGTTTTTACTTTTCCTCCATATTTCATTCTCTGATGAAGCTTTAATAAAAGTGAAACATGTTAGATTGATAAACGTTTCCTATTTGTACTTTATCTTATTTTATCGGATTCTGATATGTATTTGATCCCAACTCATATATGTGTATGTACGCTTGTCGGATGCATGATAGTATCTGAAACAAAAGTGAAGACGTTGAGATGAAGTAGAAAATTTATTAGCAATGCGTTTCACTGAGAGTGTCTATACTCATTGGCTTTCACATGTTATACTGCTATATGCCGGTTCCGTATAGGAACCGGCATATAGCAGATATGAATGTACAGGAGAAAATCATGGAAGATTGTAGTTTAAAAACAGTAAAATCGACCTTGCTAACCAAAACGCTCCTCTGTGGCGAAATCAGTAAAAGCACGTCAGACTACATGACGGTTCCGTACAGGATACAGGTTCAATTCCTGTCGGACAACACATATTTTCTATGACAATTTCTCGGACATTCAGGCCAGTAAATATTGTTAATACTGTTTATTATAAACAGAGCATGTATTTGTATCTATAAAAAGAATGTATAAACATAAAAAAGACTTAAAATATATATATATATATATATATATATATATATATATATATATATAATAAAAAAAGGCTTAAACACTAATATTATACACTTAAACACTTTTTATTATATCCTTACTCTGTCCTGGACATTGAGTTCTACCTGGATTCTATCCTCTTGGAATTTTTTATTCAAAAAATATATATATATATATATATATATGAGTAATTCATCGAGTCTGATAGAAACCTCCACAGAATGCAGAAAGCACTGATGGACCAGCCGTTTGGTCCTATATTTGGGACTCATCAGCAGTGCGCATCCACTACCGAGAATTGAAACCCTGACAGTTGGGTTCTCAGCGAACATCATACCAACTGTTCCAAGTGGGCCTCGGTGATTTAAGAGATTGCAAACCAGACTCGACAAAGCCGCTCGCTCACATATTCCGTGGGCGGAACTCGACTGAGATTCACCATTACCATAGGACTGTGCCCCTGAGCCCGACTACTCTCACCAAGCCGCTACCTACTGTAGCGTTAGAAGCAGTTCAGCGATGATAAAGACAAACAGTAATTATTGGGAGGATTTGATAATTATATGAGTAATTCATCGAGTCTGATAGAAACCTCCACAGAATGCAGAAAGCACTGGACGGTCGTTTCGTCCTATATTTGGGACTCATCAGCAGTGCGCATCCACTACCGAGAATTGAAACCCTGACAGTTGGGTTCTCAAGCGAACATCATACCAACTGTTCCAAGTGGGCCTCGGTGACGAAGAGATTGCAAACCAGACTCGACAAAGCGCCGCATATAGCTGTACATACATGCACAGCCACCTAGGCATACACATATATTAAAAGCTATTTTTATCTTTTGCATACTTGTACACATATATGTACATGCTGAAACAAACAGGCAAATAAGTCTAGACACTGGAGGTGATAATGTGTAGGGATACAAAAGGGAGATAATAATCTCCATTTAGTTGAGATGAAGTCACCTGAATCATGTGATGGCTGCTTAGTGATGTCACTTCATACTGTGACAAAAATGATCAGTCAGTCATCTTCCAAGAGTCAAACTGAGACATTGGCTTGTTGGTCTAGGCTGAGGCTAAATCTAGCTCATTCAGCACATGGTGCAGCTTACAAGCCTGTGGCACCATTTTCCTATGAAAATGTATCTTCAAAACTTCTCCAGCTTACAGTCCTCATGTTGGGAAAAACCTGGGACTCACCATTTCCCGTTTGCAAAATATGTCCTCATTAGCAACATAGCAGATGAATCCAGAATCCTAAATGTGGCTCCTTCAGAAACACAGAAGAGTCTCCTTATTATATGCAATCTTTCATTTAACCAGGAAAAGACTAAGAGAAAAGAACGCCTGACCAGAAAAAGACAAATGGAATATTACTTATCAAGAAAGAGGATAAATGAAAAAAATACCGTAAAACGAAAATTGAAAATTAAAATAAAATTGAAAAGAATACCTAAAATTGAAAATGAAAATAAAAAGGACAGTTTAAAATGAAAAAAAGGAACTAGAGCTCGTCCCAATTTAATGAATTACATTTAAAGAAAAATTACTCTACCTGATTTTGTTTCTATTTGGGTGGTCGTGTGATTTGCCGTATTCGTAGAATCCATCGCTTCTGTAAATTCAGCAGGGTCAACATCTTCCATGAAAGATTCACTGAAGTACTTCAAGATTTCTGTCTGTTTAGAATTCTGAAAGCAAGCAAAGTGTAAACAAGAAATTTCATTAATGATTTCAAAACTGATAATCAGAAAATTCCTGACAGTTAAATATTCCTAATTATTATGTGATTTTATTTTTTACAAGGCTGTGTTGGAATCACTCTGCAATCTTTACAATGACTGACAAATCCAAGCGACTTGCCTGCACCAAATTTTACATGAAGCACGGCAAGTCTAAAGAGCTTGACAATGCTTTGTAAGGCCTTTAGCAAAGATACTTTATCTGTTCTGTTATTGTAGTACAGAATTTTTGTTTTATTTTCCCTCAGGAAAAAAGTTACAAGTTTAAAGGACATGGTTTTGAATTCTGATTTCTCAATCCAAGCCACTATCCACTACTCCACTGTGTCTCCTCAAATAGACATGATCACTCAAGCATGTATTACGTATGGCACTTAACTGACTGACTAGATTGGCAGCTAGGTCTCATTATTTCACTGTTGAAATGGCTTGATGTAACTGTAACTGCTTCTTCTCTCACAGTTCTCACTGGCGGAACTCTATTCTGTCTGCTTGCTTTCCAGTCAAGTTTGCATTTAAGTTTTTGAAGATCAACATCAATTATTATCTTTTCTCTTCTTAAATCCTGTTATGTTTATGCTTTCTTTTAATGATGTTTTGCTTTTTTCTCATATTATTTCATGCTCAGTAAACCCTTGTGTCTTAGTGGCTTTATTGCCTTACTTGGGGAGAAATGATTAGAAAAAGAAAAATAATTTTGAAATTTTCAATTTTTTTTTAATTGTTTATGTTATTTAAAACTTAGTGGTTTCATTGTAAAGAATTTGTTTTTTTTAGTTAAGACATATAAACTTTAATAAGTGTTGTCAATAATCAGTATAAATTGTGGAGTGAGTAGCCGTGGTCAAATTTCTTAATGCGGAGTGAGTAACCGTGGTCAAATTTCTTAATGCGGAGTGAGTAACCGTGGTCAAATTTCTTAATGCGGAGTGAGTAGCTGTGGTCAAATTTCATAATGCGGAGTAAATAGCCGTGGTCAAATTTCTTAATGCGGACCAAGTAGCTGTGGTCAAATTTCTTAATGCGGAGTGAATAGCCGTGGTCAAATTTCTTAATGCGGACCAAGTAGCTGTGGTCAAATTTCTTAATGCGGAGTGAATAGCCGTGGTCAAATTTCTTAATGCGGACTGAGTAGCCGTGGTCAAATTTTTTAATGCGGACCAAGTAGCTGTGGTTAAATTTCTTAATGCGGACTGAGTAGCCGTGGTGAAATTTCTTAATGCGGACTGAGTAGCCGTGGTCAAATTTCTTAATGCGGACTGAGTAGCCGTGGTCAAATTTCTTAATGCAGACCAAGTAGCCGTGGTCAAATTTCTTAATGTGGAGTGAGTAGCCGTAGTCAAATGCAAAGTAAATAACTGAACTGTCCAACAAACAGAATTAACAAAGTTTTGGAATAAAAAGAAAAGGGAACAGAGCAAAAATGAAATATCAAGCAAGCAAGCAGACAATATATGCAAGGCAAATTAACATTGAGGAGGAAAAAGAGTTCACAAACTAAGAATTGGTGTAGACACACAAAAGCAATTTTGGACAAGTGAACATAATGTTCTAACTTCTAGTCGGGACACACGGAAGATCTCATAACGACCATCAAGAATAGAAAGTAGAAACGGTATATCAGAAGAACCCACAGTCTTTTCACCGCCAACCCACAAGGCACCACTTTAGGCTAGAGGAAATGAGGCAAACAGGGGAATATGCTGACAATTAGTGGATGAGAAGATCATTCACAGAAAGATTTTGGCAGAAAACTGAGATATGGAGCTGGATGGTCAAGTGCTCAGCTCAAATGCAAAAAAAATAACAGAATTGTCCAAATAACAGAATTAACAAAGTTTGCAATAAAAAGAAAAAGGAACAGGGCAAAAAATGAAATAATATCAAGCAAACAAACAATATATGCAAGGCAAATTAACAGGTAAGTTGGCAAAAAGTTCACAAATTAAAGATTGGTGTCGACACACAAATGCAAGTTCAGACAAACGAATATAGCGTTCTGTCTTCTAGACAAGGCAGATCTGGACTGAGTCATGTCAAACTGCAAGTCATCCTATTTTATTGGCTAAGAAAAAATATCCCAGCATGCATTTGTGAACTTCTACCTATTGTTGTGGAGTTATTTTCGCAGTGGAGGCTTGTACTTGAAATCGGTCCTAAACAAGTCCGATGTACAAAATGTTAGGAACTTGGTATTACACAAAGTAATCTTGTTGAGGTCGCTGATACTTTCATATTCGACTAACTGTCGTCCGACATCAACTGACCATCCTTTCTCTTACTACTCCTACTTATATTAGGTGGGAGAGTCTATTAACTATAGAATAGGTGTTTCACCATAACACCTATAAAAGGGGAAAGGGAAATATTATGCAGTCACTCCCAGTAGGATTGAAATCAACATTGCCCACCAAAATTTCCACTTGCTCACCATTTCTTGTTCCATTGGTTATCACCCACCCAACAGTTGAAATCACCCAGTGGTGGGTGATATTGACCAGCAGTGGGGAACCCTGATTTAGGCCCTCAGCCTCGGTCATAGTTTTGTTTCTTTTATCTACTTACCAAGTTAATTTCTGGGATAAGGAGCTATCATTATTTACGTTCAGATTAATATCCTCATCTTTGTTGTTGTTATCACAATGTTTCAGCTGTTGTACTCTCTGGCCTTCATCAGGTGTCTACCAGTCCAGGTAACTTTTCAAACTGAACTCTTCATCTATAAGGTAGATAAAAGAAACAGAAAGATGTCATGTGGTTTTTGATGCGATACGATAAAAGAAGACATACCTTAAAATGCAGTGTGTCTGTTTTTGTGAAGTCGTCTTTTGTGAGGCCAGCTTTCCCAAGAACACTCAATTTATTTTGAACTAATGGCCTGCAAGAGACATAAAAAAAAGATTAATTTAAAAATGAAGACAAATTTTTAAAAAAAAATTAATATTATAATTCTATCTGTTGCTCCATCAACATGTACATTGCCAGTCCCCTGCCCACAAATCTTTTTTGTTTACTTCTTGTTAGCTTCATTCTGGGTTATGTGGAATATACAGGGTGTATCAAAAATACTTTCACACCAAAACACGAACAAAATTCCATATAAATATATGTCCAAAAGGCCATCGGTGTACCTCAACACAGCAACTCATAACAAATGTCCAAAATGTCCTTCGTTTGCTTCTACACATGCATGTATAGGATACAAATCCTATATCATTCCAACAAATAACTGAAAAACACAAAGTAGATTTGCACACCGGAAAAATCGAATCAAAACAACTAAAAACAGATTTCGTAATAAGGTGTGAAATTAATTTTCTGACCAATGAAAAAAGGCAATTTGCTAAACTAAAAAAAAGATAACGATCCAGTGTGAAAAAAAAGTCAGCTATAAATAGAGAGACTCAAGTCAATCACCAGTCAGAAGGGCGCAGAGATCATAGAGGACAGAAGACTGACAGTCAGGTCCGTCACTGACTCAACCAGACACTAAGAGCAGAAAGTGGGGTAGGAAAGAAAAACAACAGCAACAAATTTACAACTGACTCCAAAACAATTCAACCCGATAAGTACATTTTCCTCTTATCTTTTATTTCTCATTCACACTATCTTTTTCAACTTAACTTGATCACCCCTTTTTACCTACTCGGCGGATACACAAAAACAAAAGAAACAAACATTACTCTACTACTCTGCTGAAAGACAGCGAACACATAGGCATTTTTTTTGTTCAAATCACATTGGCTTAAACGAACTAAAGCAATAATCTTTTTTACTCTATTCAACAAGATATAAAAATATACAAATTTGTTTATTCTGCATTAATGACATTAAGTATACAGTGTTCTATTTTCTACAAACGTTCCTTATTGTGTTGTCTTTTCTTGAAATTTGCATTGTATTTTGTGGACAGGGTACACCATATTAAATTCTCCTTTTAATCCGGGTACGCTGTACCTCACAAGTGGTGACCAATCGATGTGAAATGAACTCGCAAATTTCCAACTGAAAGAAAAGCTTCAACAAAATAAGCAACACATTTTTTTTTAACATATAACCATAATCATCAAGACACATTGAAAATGGATACACACACTACGGAACCTATGGAAGCCGCTATAACAATTAACTTACCAACTTACAACCCAACTAACGTACAAATTTGGTTTGCACAGTTAAATGCAATTGTCAATGCAAAGAAAATTACATCACAAAGTTCAAAATATGTCTACGTTGTTGAAAAACTTTCCGCAGATGTAGCATCCGAGGTAGTGGATCTACTTAATGACATGCCGGAAGAAAAACTTTATGACACGTTAAAAGCTGCAATTATTAGACGTGTCGGTAAATCTGAGGAAAGAAGGTTACACGACTTATTCAATAAATGTGAACCAGGGATATTTATTTTTAGTCGACACCGGCACCCAGATCAGTGTTATCCCACCAAATACAAAACAAAAACCTACATTCTCCACATACACATTGCAGGCAGCAAATGGATCAAAGACAGAAACATACGGTGAGATATCACTAACGCTCGATTTGGGTCTAAGAAGATCTTTTCCACTTTCACACAAGCAAATGTAAAAACACCTATCCTAGAAGCAGATTTCCTATCCCATTTCAATTTATCAGTGAATATGGCTACACACTCTCTCATTGACAGTAACACAAACCTAAGAACAAAGGGAATCACCTCAATCTACAAGTCAACAGGAATTAGTTCAGCAATACCAACGGCTAATGGCCTACATGAATTGATAAAAAAATTTCCTACACTAACGTCGCCTTTAACACATACAGATGAAATCCGTCACACTGCTAAACATTATAACACCACAGGTGGACCACCTACACACGCATCACCATGCAGATTACATCCGGAAAATATAAAATAGCAAAAGACGAATTTCAACACATGTTGCAGTTAGGCATCATACGTCCTTCAAATAGCCCATACTCCTCTCCGCTACATATGGTTCCGAAACCAGAAGCTGGCGCATGGTGACCTTGTGGGGATTTTAGGAATCTCAATGCAAAAACTGTTCCTGATAGATATCCTATACCGCACTTACATGATTTCGCCATAGACAGATATGCAATGTAATTGGCCCTGATCTGGTATCTCGTCTGCACTTGCTTTCTCACAGACGTGCCATCACCTCTCTGTCTTTTTTACAAATACTTTCATGGTAATTGCTCCGATGAGCTGCTTTCGCTGGTTCCCAGATTTCATGAATTCAAGCGTCCTACAAGGCTGGCATCCCACTCTCACCCTTTCACCGTTGAAACTGTTAAATGTTGCCGCCTCTTCTACTCCACTAGCTTCATATCTCGCACCTCTCGCCTGTGGAATTCCCTTTTCTTTTCCTGTTTCCCTGAGAGCTATAATCTCCAACTATTCAAATGTAATGTCAATCGACATCTCCAGTTGCCTTGATCTATCTACTATCCTTCTCCTCATCCTTTCCTCTATCACTCCTATCTGGTCTCGCTCCAAATGCCCTTGAATCCTAGTGGCTTCCCGCCTTGCTTGGGGTGAAATGCTTAAAATATATATATATATATATATATTACGATAAACGTGCAATCAATTTACAAATACATGAATTATTCACACAAAACTAATGCAAAGGTTAATGCTTTAAATGGCGAGACATCCATCATCGCAAACAATTCAAATAGTATACAAAAACCTCCAGATCCGTTATGAATGAATTGATCCTTGTTTATATAAATTTCTGCCGTATTAGTTGTTATTTTTACTACAAGCTTTCGTCTGTTCCTACAGACATCTTCAGGTATAGAATAGATGTTGTTTTTTTTGTTTTTTCTCTTAGTAATAAGAGGACAACGAAAATATATGTGTTGTTGTATCCGAAAATGCTATTGAAAAAGAGTTATTGGTTTTGGAACGCGCCAAAAGCAACGCTTGAGTTTGATTTTAAATTTTTAAAGTGTTTGCGTTTATACCAAATATGGTGATGAACAAATTTTTTTACTGGTAAATTTTTCTGTCAAAGTGGCATGAACTATATTGTTCAATAATTACAGTAATGTCGCACTTATTATCTAAAAGTCGCACTTGGATCAGTTATTTAAATTACAATAAACGTGCAATCAATTTACAAATACATGAATTATTCTCACAAAACTAATGCAAAGGTTAATGCTTTAAATAGCGAGACATCCATCATCGCAAACAATTCAAATAATATACAAAAACCTCCAGATCCGTTATTTCATTCATAACGTATCTGGAGGTTTTGTATACTATTTGAATTGTTTGCGGCGATGGAATATTTAAAGCATTAACCTTTACATTAGTTTTGTGAATAATATATATATATATATATATATATATATATATATGTATATTAATTGGTGCAATATATATAATATTATAAAGAAGAAATATTAATTTACTAACAACTGTCTGAATGATGCCATTCTTATGTTTAAAATTATAAGATAGATTAGGTGCTCTCACTTGAAATATTCAAAATACAATGGCAGTGTTGCAACACCATACGTTCTGAAATTGTACTGTTAATAAATAGCACAAAAAACATCTTTCAGCTTGAAATGAAAACAATAATAATACCTGACAATGAAGGAGTGAATTTCTTTGAAAGTAATTGTAATTGAACATCTAATCTATCTCATAACTTTAAACAATCTCCTCAAAGATGATGGAAGAGACTTGAGGCAACAGAAACAAAGAAAAGGGTGCTGAACGGTTATATAATATCAGTCCTCCTATACGGCAGTGAATGCTGGGCAATCTCCTCACAGATGAAGAAGAGACTTGAGGCAACAGAAACAATGAGTGCTGAGCAGTTAGATAATATCAGTCCTCCTATATGGCAGTGAATGCTGGACAATCTCCTGACACATGAAGAAGAGACTTGAGGCAACAGAAACAAAGAAAAGCATGCTAAACGGTTATATAATATCAGTCCTCCTATATGGCAGTGAATGCTGGACAATCTCCTCACAGATGAAGAAGAGACTTGAGACAACTAAAACAAGGAAAAGGGTGCTGAATGGTTATATAAGTCCTCCTATAGGGCAGTGAATGGTGGACAATCTCCTAACAGATGAAGAAGAGACTTGAGGCAACAGAAACAAAGAAAAGGGTGCTGAATGGTTATATAATATCAGTCCTCCTATATGGCAGTGAATGCTGGACAATCTCCTAACAGATGAAGAAGAGACTTGAAGCAAGAGAAACAAGGAAAAGAGTGCTGAACAGTTAGATAATATCAGTCCTCCTATATGGCAGTAAATGCTGGACAATCTCCTCACAGATGAGGCAAGAGAAATGTGGTTCTACAGAAAGATGCTGAGGATACTATAGATTGAATATGTGAGCAACGACAAAGTTTCATAGAAAATGGAAACAAAAAATATTTATACATAGAATCAGAAAGAGGCAAATGAAAGTCTAGGGCACTTAATGAGGAAAGAGGACTAGGAAAATTTGATAATCACAGGACAAAATGAAGGCAAAAGGGACAGAGGGAAGTAGTGAGTAACTTATCTAATAAGCTTGTGAGGAGAGGAAATTGTGAAGTGCCATGTTCGCTCCCTTCCCAATGTTTTTGTTTGATTTGATTTTTTACAGCTTATCAACCTTTTGCAGTTTATTTAAAGCCAGAAAATATTTTTAGACTGTAAGAATTTTTGGGAGATAATTATGATTCACTGATACAAATTCTTCTAATTAACCCATAGCTGGAGGGGAGAAGAAGTGGATTTATAACTTTCACAAGCGTATTTGCGTGTCAGTAAATATCACGCACCCAACTGGAATTTGAACTTGGCTCCCTGATTTCCAATTCTGAGCTGTTATCCATTATGTCCCTGCATGTCCAAGCTTACAGCATCTGGTATTCCCCAGCAGTCACCCATATAGATACTGACCAGGTTCTATGTTGCTTAACTTTGGTGATCTTTCATAAGCCTATCCTGAAGAGGAATGGCACTTAGAAGAATACTTATTGTGTTCAGATTACTCCTTGACAACAAAAACGGAAGGACAAATAAACGCCATTGTTGAGTGCTTTTGAAATGAGAAGAGGTTTTCTTACCATATGAAGTCGTCGGCCGTTCCTGGGGCAACCAAATAGTAGACATTAACAGAATTCAATTGTCCAATACGATGCACCCTGTCTTCAGCTTGGACCAAAATCTACAAGGTCAAAAACAAAAGAATATCTATAAAATGAACAAAAGAATAAACGAACGATGAATGTAAACAAAAAGAAAAAGAAGAAAGAATGATTTTAATCAACGAAAAATTATTGAAGAAGAAATGAAATGCACAAATTATAAAATAAGGCATTCCTTGGTATGACAATAAACTGCATCCGGCAGCAAAGCCTCTAATTGGGAGATTGGATGTTTTCAAGAGCATGGAACCACCTCTTAATTGCTGTTGTTCCCAGGTCCAGCCTGATCTAGGGTGGTAGCAACTGTTAAGGTCCCAGCTGAAGGCAAATAGTGAACACCCCCATAATAAAAAAAAAACTATTAAATTATAAAAATATATTTTATAGTAAAATTACCAATACATTTTATCTGTAGATGAAGGCATTCAATTGCATTCATAATATATTTAGTTGACACTATAAAATTGTGTTCAAATTATTTAGATTTCAGCCTTAAATAACCCACAGAGGTGTTCATATGCTACTAAACAAAACCAAACAACCAATATCAAAGAACTCTTTTATGACATTAATCCATATAATACTCTACAATTTCTTAAAGAAATCAAACTGTATTCCATAATATCAACAAAACTACAAGATAAAACACATATCACTACCTCTAGTAATTATGTCCACAAACATGTATATGCACAAAAGCTGAGTATCATCTACCATGTATTCAACTCTGAAAGCAGAATAACATGTACTTTCATTACTTCAAAACTCTAAAGAAAAATTTCAGAGTTGACATGCTGTTAAAGAATCAAATTAAATAAACTCTGAATTCAAAATCGAAGGTGTATGGAAGCATCTTCTTACCACAAACCAGTACCTTAAGGCAGAATCACCTCTCAAGAGGCTGCTTCCCTGATCACTTACTAAATCTGTTTCCCCAGACAAAAATTAATAATAATGTCTGACAGTGCTTCATCTAATAAAAAATGAAGATGAAAGTAAATACTAGTCAAAAATTAATAATAATGGCTGACAATGCTTCATCTAATAAAAAATGAAGATGAAAGTAAATACTAGTCAAAAATTAATAATAATAGCTGACAATGCTTCATTTAATAAAAAATGAATATGAAAGTAAATACTTGTCAAAAATTAATAATAATGGCTGACAATGTTTCATTTAATAAAAAATGAAGATGAAAGTAAATACTAGTCAAAAATTAATAATAATGGCTGACAATGCTTCATCTAATAAAAAATGAAGATGAAAGTAAATACTAGTCAAAAATTAATAATAATGGCTGACAATGCTTCATCTAATAAAAAATGAAGATGAAAGTAAATACTAGTGAAAAATTAATAATAATGGCTGACAATGCTCCATTTAATAAAAAATGAAGATGAAAGTAAATACTAGTAAAAAATTAATAATAATGGCTGTCAGTGCTTCATGGAATATAAAATAATGATTATTCCTCAACTTTCAAAGTTTTCTTAATATTCTGCAAAAGATGGTGCTTGTAATTTTTGCAACAATATAATGCAGACTGTGTTTCATCTCTTTCACCAATGAGTATGCTGATAATCTATGATTTTACTAATATTTTCCGGATGAGAGCAACAGCTCTTAAGAAATTAATCATTAAATTACAAGACATTAAGAGAATTCCATTGTCCAATAAGATGAAAGCTGTTTTCATCTTGGATTAAAAAGAAAAGGAAAAAAAAAATGTCTGAAACTAACCCCTGGATTCCAGAACAATTCTGCAAAAACCACCATGGATGTGGCGGTCAAATTCAATCCTGAATTGGCTGCACATATTGACAGGATAGCAATTTTAACATCTTCTTGTCTCTGGAACTTGTCACAGAAGAATTTCCGCTGTTCACTGGGCGTCTTTCCATCAATCCGAATATAGGCAACCTTACACTGTAAACAGTTCAATTTGAGACAATAAAGAAAGACAGTGCTATTAATAATTTTGACAAGAGACATTAAAATCCCATAATTTCTTCAGTGTATTCTATTATAATTGTATTTGTTCCTCCCTTTGTTAGTTTGTACGAGCGTTACATCCTGTCAACATCTCATAAATAATGTACTATATTGTTTTGATCATGCGGAAAGAGGGGAATAGACACCACTTGGTTTTTGTTGTAGTAAAGAAAAGACTGTCAACTGATCGTAGCAACTGCAATAGATCTCTTCTATTTCTCAACCGCAACACTTGTAGCCAAATTGCAGTTCCACTGACTGCCCGTCGTAAAAGTCCAACAAAGTAGAAACGACAAAATGGTGTCATACGTCCAACCTTCTCGTGAGCCAAAAAAAAAAAAAGAAAAAAAAAACACGCGTGTTCTGCCAGCAGCTCAGAAAATCTTCTGCCTTTTGTGGTAAGAAATCCAAATAAAAAAAAATCACCATGAAAAAAAAAAAACACGTTTGCTTTATACAGCCGAGGACCGACCATAATTTGCATGTGAATGACGAGACAACAAGATTTCGTGTTAACTGTCCAAGACCGCCTGGCATAAAACATGGGTGTCACCATTTTGGCTCTTTTCACCATTGAGCAACCGGAGTTTACACAATGCACAGATTCGTGGGCGTCTCTGAGGTAAGCCATTTTCACAATTTTCCCCACAGTTTCAGTTAGAAGGAAAGAAAAAAAAGAAGGGAAGTTAGAAGCAGTAAGAGAGAGAGAGAGAGAGAGAGAATCAGGTTAAGCTGATCAGAACAGATATTACACTTTGATCTTAGCCATTTACATTGGTGACTGCGAAAATGCGCCATTTTCAAATGCAGAATACCAAACGATGGAAACCAAGTAAAGTAATTGCCAACAATCCAATTACTATAAATAAAATAACATCATCTGCTGAATTACTTTTTAAATTATTATTAAGAGAAATCAATGCTTCATAAATAATGGCTATTCTGTTTTGATTACTGAGAAGACAAAAGACATATCAAAGTCGTTACTTGGTTTCAGTGTGAAAATGAAAGAAAAAAGAGAGAAGTGTTTAAATTAAATGGAAATATTTGTCAATTCAAATCTTTTCATTTTAACTTCCTTATTTCTTAAAATAATGACCAGCATTCATATAGACTATTGTCCTCATCTTCGTCACAATATTTATTACAACATTTCAGCTGTTGTATGCTCCAGCCTTCTTAAGGTGGTTGGAATGTCGAACTGAACCCTTTATTTCATTCACTGGGATAGACACATGGCACAGTGGATAAAAGCATTAGTTTTTTAGTTTTAAAAAAAAATCACTACATTAGTTTTTTTTTTTTTAAATAAAAAGCGTTAGGTGGTCAGTTGATAAAAAATCGCCTGATGAGACCCATAAGGTTGAAACCAAGGTCGCATATTCGACTAACCTCCTGATTTTTAAAGTTAAAAGTTCTTTTTACTTTTATTTTATTTTTTCACATGTATTGAGCACTTCTTAATACTACTGTTTCCTGGTCCGTTTCAACTCTGGCCATTAACCTTTTATATATATATATATATATATATATATATATATATATATAAAGTCATCCACAGACAGACTGTTTTGCTGTTTCACAGCTCTTCAGTGTGGCTAGACATCTGGTTGCCTCTAGCTAGGATCGAACTCCAGCTGAATTGGCGTCAGTCAGAGATTCTACCACTAAGCCGTCGGCGCATGGCAGAGATGAAGGGGAATTTTAGCATATTTATTTTTAGATAAACACACACAGTGACTGACAGTGACTCAGTTTGCTTTTTGCCGAAAAGTCTTGCTATATCAGCCATAATAGTCACTGTTTACAAACTCACACCTCCTCCTCAGAGAGCTGAACTGGAATTAATTTTATCAGGAGCCTATATATAAACAAGTACCTCCCACCACCATAAAAAATCACTTTTTCTCATTTCTAGAAAAGGACTCCTCTTGAGGTGATGTCATAAGTAAAGAGGTAGTGTAGCTGTAGCAACATGGAAGGGCTTTCTCAATGCTTGAATGCAGAATAATTACTGAAGTCAGAAATATGGAGCACTATCTCCAAGGTGGAAACTGCTTATATTTTTTTTTGCATGGGTTAAATTAAAAACAACAAAAATGAGGATGCTAATCCAGGTGCTCATCAAAATTTAAAACCCCAACAGGTACATACCTTGTTTCTGATGACATCTTCAATGGCATCCATCATTTCCTGGTGATGTGCAAACAGTAAAAATTTGTGATCTGCTTCTATCAGGTCAATGACGTAATCGCTGATGGAGAAACAAAATTGGAAATTTCATCTTTCTGTACTTCCCATATTATAAAATAAAATTTAACACACAACAAAGAAAAAGGAAGTTTGCATAATGTAGTGGTTATCAGAAAATGGAACGGGCATTTTTTTCTTTTTTTTTTTAAAACTGAGTTCACCCCAAGCAAGGCAGTAAAGCCACTAAGACACAAAGGGTTAGTGGGTGTGAAAGAATTACAAAATAGAAACATTACTAAGTAGCGAGAATAATAGAAGAGTAATCAGGAAGATAGTAGATAGTGATTGATATTGCATTTAAATTTTTAAAGATCAAAATTGTCTGGAAAGCATTGAGTTAGAAGAGAGTTCTACAGGCAAGAAGTGTGAGAAAAGAAACTGTTAGCATTGAACTTACTGTTACATCTACCAACTCAACTGTAAATTGATGGGACCTTATTGCTTAAATTCATGAAGTTTAGGTACCATTGTGAATAGCTCATCTGAACAATTACCATGAAAATATTTATAGAAAAGGCACAGGGAGGCAACTTTATGGTGGTGAGAAAAAGGACTAAAGTCAGGAGCACAAGTCAGGATTAATAATATTGCTGATTCTTCTTTGGATTTTACAAAGGATCCCAAGCTATAAAGCAGGATCTCCGTACCATATGTGGCAGCAATATTTGAGGCAAGGACAAACTGTAGACTTATAGATATGTAAGATAGATTCAAGAGAGAAAAATTGTCAAGCATTACACAGTGAATCAACTTTCTTATAGAGTTAAAATTCCAACTGAGACTTTTTCTAACCCCAGCTAATCCAAACTATTCTGGAATACCAGAAATAACAGTTGGCATTTGTTTGCTCTTTCTTTCACCGGAGTCATAATTATTTGTCTCGTTGACAAATAAAGGGGAGACTGGGTTTTTTAGCTTTTGGAATCAAGTCGAGATATACAGATTAATGAAAACATATAATAATACAAGACTTGAAACTTTTGTCATTCAACATTTTATTCATAACAATTATTTACCAATTAATAGGAGCAGATAGGTTTGCCTAACATCCAGTTCACAAACCTCCCTAATTTTTTGGACAGGAGTAAAGGTCTATCCCTTGTTTCCTGTTTAACCTTTGCCATTCTTTCTAGAATTGTTCGCCCTGCCTCTGCATCTTTTTTGAGGAGGCAAAAAATATGAACACCTACTGTTTTAAAATTGTTATAACTTTCTTTGTATTGTGCATATAGATTTTAATTTTCAATCACTAATAAAAGAATGAATGAGTAATATTTTGATGTAATGCATTATGTTTTTCATACATGTTTTGATGTTGAAAACTAAAAAAAAATTGAAATGTGAAATAAAAAACAAATACATTAAAAAATACATAAATAATTCAATGTACTTTAACTTTTATTACTCCCCGTGGAGTTCTGGGGGTGCAATAAGAAGCAAAGTTGTTAAGAAGGTTTTCATTTTGTCAAAAAAAGTGACTTATTTTCTCTAGTTTACATACGAGAAGACACTAGCATTTGTTTGGTCTTTCTTTGACCTGAGTCATATTCATTTGTTGTGTTGACAAATAAAGTTGTTATTTTGTCATTTATAAATAGACAAAATAATTTAGCTTCAGAAAGGCTATCAGGTATATCGATGGTCATCAGTAGCTTCCATAAATTTAGTCAGGCATGAATGATAGTAGCTACTAGTGTAGTTATCATCTTTGACCACTTCACCGTCAATATCCACTCGAGTAAAACCTTCAGAATCATCATAAGAGTCTTACTCAAAGAAAAACTTCAGAATAAAGGCTTTGTTGGATATTGACGCAGTCATTTTTGTTTACAAAAAAATTGCGAAAAAATTAATGTGGGTTTAATCTGTGTTACACCTCATGTAGAGTCAAGAAGAATTCAAAATGGCGTTGGAAAACAGAAGTTTAACCTTGTTCCAAAGTAGTAGTAGCGATTTCCAGCTTAAAATACCAGAAATAACAGTTGACAAGTGTTTATAGCAACTGTCTCAAAGCAACAGAATCTGCTTAGAATAGCAAAGGGAGAGAATTCTGCAGTGCCAATTGCTGTCTACAGTGTGGTAAAGGTTAAGATAGTTTTTTTTTTATTGGTTGATTCATTTTCTATGGCTTACCAACACTTTGCAGGTTATTTAAAATCAGAAAATATTTTTTTTTTTTTGGAGATAATTTAATAGTGGTTTAGTGATAAAAGCCTTACTAATTAACCCATAGATGGGGGCAAAAGAAATGGATTCATACCGAATCAGAATTTGATAAACAAATTATAATGTGGATATAAAGTGGGGGATCAACTCTATATTACAATCAAGATATAAATTGATCCCTCATTTTGCGGCCACAGTAGTTTCTGTACATTTATATTTCAGAGAATGTAAATAAATCTAAAAGACATGGTTGTGTAGCTAATCAGTATTTCAATGATTGATTGATTGATTTTCTACAGCTTATTACCCAAGCAAGCTATTTAGAGTAAGAAAATATTTTTAGAATTTTCTTTTTTGGAGATAATAGAAGTCTTACTAATTAACCCATAGCTGGGGGAAGAAACGCATTTGTACTGTTCCCAAGAGTATTTTTCACATAAGTAAATATAATGAACCCAACAGGTATTAGAACTTGACTCTCTGAATAACAATTCCAAGACATTACACATTACCACTGCACATCCATGTGTACAGTACCTGGTATTCCCAAGTGGTCACCTATCTAGGTACTGACCAGGCTTGACATTGCTTAACTTTGGTGATTGTATGGAAACCATTTTTTTAAATGTGATGTAACTGTAAAATTAGGTTTACGGTTCCTTCTAAAGCCATTTCTTTTGCATCTTAGTGGCATTATCACCTTAATTGGGGTGATTTTGTTTTTTTTAAGCAAATCACCCCAAGCAAGACGGAAGTGCCACTAGCATGCAAGGGGTTACAGAGAGTGAGAGTAAGATTAAAGAGGAGTGTTTGGGAAAAGGATAAGAGGACAGGGATCAAGGTCAAGGCATCAGATGATGTTGATTGACATTACATTTGAATATTAGAAGATTATAGCTATCAGGGAAGCAAGTAAGTGGAAGGGAGTTCCACTGATGGGAGCTGCGAGATAAGAAGCTGTTGGAGTAGGAGAGATGGCCAAAATTTAGTCACTTTGACAGTGAAAAGGTGGGACCAAGATGCTAACCTAGTAGCATGCTTAAATTTATGCAGTTTGGGAATCAGTGAAAGTAGCTTGTTGGAGCAGTTGCCATGAAAGTACCTGTAGAAAAGACAGAGGGAAGCCACAGAATGTCTGTGAGATAGCAACTGCAGATGGTATGCCAGATCAGAACCAAACATGTTGCATATCAGTATCTGGATTTTGTTGAGGACCTCAAGATGAACATATATGGCAGCAATATTCCATGCAAGGACGAATGGTCGATTTGTAGATTTTAAGGATGGACTCAGGCAAGAAAAACTTTCTGGCGTGACACAGAGAACCAACTTTCCTTGCGGTAGATGAAGCTATTGATTCAATGTAGTTGTTCCATTACAGGTCAGTGGACAGTGTGAGACCAAGCAGACGCAGAGAGGCGTTCTTGTGTAGTTGGGATTCAGCCATCTTGATGGGAGGCAGGAGGGGTCTCTATGGTGGGTAAGTGACAGAGAACCAACTTTCCTTGCGGTAGATGAAGCTATTGATTCAATGTAGTTGTTCCATTACAGGTCAGTGGACAGTGTGAGACCAAGCAGACGCAGAGAGGCGTTCTTGTGTAGTTGGGATTCAGCCATCTTGATGGGAGGCAGGGAGGGGTCTCTATGGTGGGTAAGTGACACAGAGAACCAACTTTCCTTGCGGTAGATGAAGCTATTGATTCAATGTAGTTGTTCCATTACAGGTCAGTGGACAGTGTGAGACCAAGCAGGTGCAGAGAGGCGTTCTTGTGTAGTTGGGATTCAGCCATCTTGATGGGAGGCAGGGAGGGGTCTATATGGTGGGTAAGTGACACAGAGAACCAACTTTCCTTGCGGTAGATGAAGCTATTGATTCAATGTAGTTGTTCCATTACAGGTCAGTGGACAGTGTGAGACCAAGCAGGTGCAGAGAGGCGTTCTTGTGTGGTTGGGATTCAGCCATCTTGATGGGAGGCAGGGAGGGGTCTCTATGGTGGGTAAGTGACACAGAGAACCAACTTTCCTCATGGTAGATGAAGCTATTGATTCAATGTAGTTGTTCCATTACAGGTCAGTGGACAGTGTGAGACCAAGCAGGCGCAGAGAGGCGTTCTTGTGGAGTTGGGATTCAGCCATCTTGATGGGAGGCAGGGAGGGGTCTCTATGGTGGGTAAGTGACACAGAGAACCAACTTTCCTTGCGGTAGATGAAGCTATTGATTCAATGTAGTTGTTCCATTACAGGTCAGTGGACAGTGTGAGACCAAGCAGGCGCAGAGAGGCGTTCTTGTGGAGTTGGGATTCGGCCATCTTGATGGGAGGCAGGGAGGGGTCTCTATGGTGGGTAAGTGACACAGAGAACCAACTTTCCTTTGCGGTAGATGAAGCTATTGATTCAATGTAGTTGTTCCATTACAGGTCAGTGGACAGTGTGAGACCAAGCAAGAGAGAGGCGTTCTTGTGGAGTTGGGATTCGGCCATCTTGATGGGAGGCAGGGAGGGGTCTCTATGGTGGGTAAGTGAGAGCAGTTTCATTTTAGAGGTATTAAAGTTTACAACTGATTAAAAAAACATTACTCTTGGCTAGTGTGTTGCCTGATTCTGAGCCTTACAGTCTTATATCTGCAATGTATATGAGACTGCCAAATTCATCTCGGGAGCCACTGTTTATACAATTCTTTCATGCTTGTTGGTCCCATGCTTGCAAAATTGGACACATACATGAGGGTGCATGGTTCTGTGTTCAGCAGCTGGGAGTAAAACCCCTAAATCAACACTGCACCTGGCTTCCTCGATTTGGTGTGAAATTAAGTGCAAAACCTAATCCACCATAAAATTCAAGTTTGAATGGCAAACCATTTTTTCTTTCTTTTCATGTGCCATGTCCTTTCAGGACGTAGGCGATTATGGCTCTCCACCACCTTCTATCCCTTGCAGCTCTCAACAAGTTCCCTCCCTCTGCTTCCTCCCCACAGACCATGTTCCGTCATCCACCTGCTCAAGCCCGCCAGGTATGTCATGCGTTGCTTTCCGCTCTCTTTTCCCTTCTATTCGACCTATGAGTATCAGATTCTCCAGGCCCTCCTTCCTCATTATATGTCCCAGAAACTTCAGCTGCCTCTTCTGATGTTAAGTATAAGTCTCCTTCTTGTTTGCAACCTCTCTAAGACCTCATTGTTGCTCACACGCTCGGTCCATGATATCCTTAGCATCCTTCTGTAGAACCATATCTCCGTCGCCTCGAGTCTCTTCTTCATCTTTGTGGAAATCATCCAACATTTGCTGCCATAAAGAAGGACAGACGTCACATAACAGCTCAGTATTCTTTTCTTTGTTCGTAAAGAAATCTTCCTGTCTTGCAATACTCTGCTAAGCTTTTGGAATGCATCCTTGGCCATCTCAATACGTCTACGGATCTCAGTGTCGCACTTACTGTATTCTGTCAAAACGCTTCCCAGATATTAAAAATTCTGTGTCTGCTTGATCTTAGTTTTCCCAACCTGCAAATTGCATTTTAGGCTCTACCTCTTACTGACGACCATGCATTCTGTCTTCTTGTAGTTTATGCTTAGTAATTTCTTTCCCGTCAAACCATTCTAGAAGAACAATACAGAGCTCAAAACTGTTTGGACTAAAAACTCCACCTCATAAACCAAAAAAAATACATGCTATGGAAACCACAGGAGTAGCAACACCTGATGTGGTGAAGTTGTGGCACTTTAATCACCAAGAGAGTCATTGAGTTCACATAACATAACTGCTAGGGTCAGTTTATTTATAGGTATATCTGTAAGTCCATAGCCTAATGCTGGAAAAAAAAAGTATTTCTTTTAAACAACAAATATCTTTTTAACATAATCATCTTCTTGATACTGCACTTAATTCAGTGGTGAAAATTACGCACTAGGCTACATACTTATTGATTCATTCTCGTCCACAGGATTCTATGGGATTTAAGAAATCAAAAGTAAGCCTTACCAAACTGACTGAACCTTGGCAGAAGCAGTTTCCGAGAAATACTGTAACAAGAGTGAATGCCTGTCCTGAAAAGAGAGAGAGAGAGGAATTGGTAAGTGTCCCAGTTCTTTGTCATGGAATGAGACTGTTGAGTTAGAAATTCTTGCAAATAGATATCCCTTTGAAATTCCAACGCAAAACTGACAGAATTCTTAAGCCTCTTTTTTGTTACGTAATTTTTAACAAGTTCATCTTGAGAGTGTGGATGGACCACCAATTTGGAGAATGGTAATCAGTGAATTGAGATCAAACCCCAGCTAGTGCAGTTTGCATTCAACTTGTCTTATTCAATAAATTATTGATATTAGCATTCTCATCTTCGATCTTTGGATCACTGAATTTTAACCGGTGGGATTTCCAACCATCCTCAGGTGACAATTATTCAATGAATTATTCATATTAGCATCTACACCTTGTTTGTTTCAGTCACTGCATTTTGACTGGTGGGATTTCCAACCATCCTCAGGCGACAATTATTGAATGAATTATGCATATTTTATTTTCTTCTTTAAACTGAGTAAAGTTAAATTGTGTCATAGAGCTATATTCCCTCTCACCTGTTTCTACCTGACATCTTGCTGGTTGTAGATGCAACACGAAAGAACTACTTACCTTTAACCTTGCTTTTTCAAACCGGGAGGATGCATGCTTCATTTCTTTGTCAATTTTAATGGAAGTTGGGTTTAATAATACCATTTGACGAGTTTTGGAAGGCAGTTGAGATATTACATCTTTTTTAAGTCGTCTGTTAAAAATTAAAAAAATAAATAAAAAAGATGTACCAAAAATTCAATATAATGCAATACAATATAAAGAAATTGCATGGGAAATTATTTTGCTGCAGAAATTTAATTACTGTGCCAAATAAATTTAAACGAAATTATTTCCTGATATAAATGCAATTGAAATTATTGTGCCAAAGAAATCCAAAGGAAATTATTTTGTATTATTTTGCCAAAGAAATTCTAAAGGAAATTATTTCTCAGTAGAAATGCAATGGAAATTATTTTTCCAAAGAAATTCAAAAGAAATTATTTCTCCAGAAAAATAATTTTGCATTATTTTGCAAAATATATTCCGAAGAAATTATATCTCTATAGAAATGTGATGGAAATTAAATAGCATTATTTTGCCCAAGAATTCAAAGGAAATTATTTTTCTGGAGAAAGACAAATGAAATAAATTTGGCCAAAGAAATTCAAAAGGAAATTATTTCTCCATAGAAATGTAATTGAAATTATTTTGAATTATTTTGTAAAAGAAATCAAAAGAATATTATTTCTCCATAGAAATGCAATGAAAATTATCTTGCATTATTATGCCAAATAAATTCAAAGGAAATTATTTTTTTCTATAGAAATTCAATGGAAATTATTTTGCCAAAGAAATTCTAAGGAAATTATTTCTTTAGAGAAATGCAATGGAAACTAATACAAAGCAGGCAAAGAAGAAAAACTGATGATGTGGTGATTGTGTGTATATGTAGTGAGTGCATTCAGTTTCAGCAGCTTATATTATCAGATGCAACATCATCAGAGCAGGAGGTGTTTATAAAATGTCAGTCTGTTTCATGCTCGAACACAATCTTCAGGCTATATATAAATAGTAACAGGCATCAGTTTCTTTTGTGAGATAATGTTAGCACTGCATTTGTTAAAAATTTAATCATTTGTGGTGAGATTGGAGTGATCTCTCCAGTGTGTTAGCCTGGACAATGCTGTATGGTGGATGTTTACTTCCAAGACCACACGGTTCCTCTTTCAGTCATATGAAGAAAATCCAAAGTAATACAGAGCATTAATTGTGGCACCAGCTTGGCTGAAGAAGTTGCTGCTGGAAGGTTGTCAGTGTTGACAGTCAACCACCTTAAGGACTCAACTTCCGATTTTCTGTCTAGATTGACTTATCTAGCATTTTTCATAGTTTGATCTCAGGCTGACGATCCCACCTGAAGCAGCTGGTTATGAGGCACCAGTGGTTCACCTTGGTCATTCTCAGGATCAAAACTGCATTTAATTGTCAGAGATTATTTAAGACATAAGCCATGGGGTGCATTTTATACACAGTGTCTCAATTATTACCCATAGCTATGACAACATTTGGAATATATAATATACATATATAATTTGCAATTTGGAAAATTCAATCAATAAAATTAATCGACACAAAAAGTCTGTTGACTTTTTATATATATATATATATATATATTGGGCATGTGGCTGAGTGGTTAGAACATTCGCTTTCTGACCATGAGATTTGCGTTTGTATGTCACCATGGTCAATTTGTCAGGAAGGCAAGGGCTCGATGTTATCAGTCCGGAGGAGGTGATCCCAGCATGTGGCACCATTGGAAAGTGTTTGAAAACCATACCATGGGCTGACCCAAGCCTTATTAGTGAAATTGGTTAGACAGAACCTTTGGGAGCTGCCGATGGCTGCAATAGCATGAAGCCACAAGTCATATCATGACCAGGGGTTTGAGCGTGCTGACCTTGTTCAGATTGTTGATCATGCTAGATAACACACTCTTTCTCAGAAACTGTAACTAAGGTCTGTTCAGCATAGTTGTGATATAAACCACAGGTGGGCTCTGTGGGTGTTGAACAAACACAAAATGTGCCTGAGCAAGCATCTGCAATAGGGATCAGATAGCTGCCCTGGTAGACGGGTATCCTCAAATACAAATGGCCAGCCTTTAACGATTATCATATATATATGAATTTACTTCAGAGTCTGTCTATATTTCTAAGATGAGGTATTATGTACATTATTTACATTATTCGGACTATTGTCCTCATCTTTGTCGCCATATTTATCCCAACGTTTTGGCCGTTGTACGCTCTGGCTTTCTTCAGGTGGTTGGAATGTCGAACCAAACCCTTTATTTTGCTCACCGGGGTAGACTGTTCTAGTTCCACATGCCATGTTTGATGGATGTCAGTTATCAGTTATCTCCTGTTAATTTCCCTCTGAAAGTTCTCCACTGCCTTAACCGGGTATTGAACTCACACTCTTTGGGTTCTGTCACTGGATCTAACCAACGCCTTTATCCACTGTGCCATGTGTCCTCAAGGACACATGGCACAGTGGATAAAGGCATAAGATAACTGATAACTGACATCCATCAAACATGGCACATGGAACTAGAACTGTCTACCCCGGTGAGTGAAATAAAGGGTTAAGTTCGACATTCCAACCACCTGAAGAAGGCTGGAGCGTACAAATGCCGAAATGTTGTGATAAATATGGCAACAAAGATGAAGACAATAGTCCAAATAATGTAAATAATGAATTTACTTACCGAATCATGATTCTTTCTTCCATAATAATTTGCAACTCAGCCATATTTGATGAGCCTGAAAAGTCCCAACCCCAAGGATTCTGGGAAAAGAGAAAGAGAGGTAATCAGATGTTATTCATTGCTAGAAAATAAAAATTAGAAATAGACTGATTTACATGGAGTAAAAGCCTATATGAGAGCTATTTTAAAATAACAAGCCACATGTGAAAATATTTTATAAAAACATCCCACATTGGAAGCCATTTAAAAATAGTCCAAATATGAAGCTATTTTTAAAAAAAGGGCAGATGAGAAACTATTTAAACAAATTAAAAGCTATTTAAAAAAAATAGCCCATAAATAAGCCTATTTAAAAAAAACAGCCCACATCTGAAGCTATTTAAAAAACAGCACATTTGTGAAGCTGTTTTTTTTTTTAAATGAAAGTATTTATAAAACAGCCTACTTGTCCCCCCATGTGACAATATTTGAAATACATGTGGAGATATTTGAAATAACTGGCCCACGTGTGTCACTATTTGAAATAAGCAGCACACATGTATCAACATTTGAAATAAGCAGCCCACATGTGTTAATATTTGAAATAAGCAGCCCACATGTGTCAATATTTGAAATAACCGGCCCACATGTGTCAATATTTGAAATAACCAGCCCACATGTGTCAATATTTGAAATAACTGGCCCATATATGGAGGTATTTGAAAATAATGGTCCACATGTGTCAGTATTTGAAATAACTGGCCCACATGTGGAGATAGTTGAAATAACCAGCCGACATATGATGATAGTTGAAATAGTTGTCCTATAAGCAAATATATTTGTAATAATTGACCCACATGTGAGGATATTTGAAATAAATGGGCTACATGCAATATTTGAAATAACCGTCCCACACACAAAGATAAAGAATTCACAACGAAAATAGAGGTCAATGAACTGTTTGATTAATCTCTCCCTTTATATTTTTTAGACGTTCAATGAATTCTATCATACAGTGATTACTCCTGGTTTTATATAAATCACTTTTTGCTCAATATTTTGGAGGTGTGTACCAGATGATTTACAAGAAAAAATACAGATTATCAGGTTCTTGAATAGTGATGATTTATTAAATCAAAGATTTGAATTGATGGTTAATTGTAAACAAATCATACCTTTGACTCTACAATCTTTCTAGACTCCAATTTGACAATTGCTTTTTCTTATATTTTAGTTAAACCTTGTTGCACCATATAAGGTATATACATTTATATATATATATAAAACAAAAGTAGGCAAAGCAAAAGTAATAAGGCAAAAAGTTCACAAAGTAAAACTAGTGTTTACATATAAAAGGGGTACCGACAAGTGATTGCAGTATTTGGACTTGAAGACAAGAATATGGCAGAAGAAACCGAGAAGTGGCCTCTCTTATTGGCTTGAAAGAAATCTTAGCATGCAACCATATTATTTGCCTATAAATTTTGGCAGTCATCCCTGACAGGATTTAAACAAACACATTGATAATTTAATTTTTGAATAATATTTTTTTATTTTATTTTTGCCGCAATTCATTGTAATTTTCCATTGTAGAGATAGAACAAAGATACACAAGTGATTCAGTTAAACATTTGTTTGACAATTCACTGTAATTTAAAAACAACCAACCTTTTTCCCATCACAGTAGCGGACCCCAAAATCCATATAGCTTATGATACGTGGTGCTACGGCTATAATTTGAGTGTAGAGTTCCATGGGCCTTGATAGGGCAGGTGTACCTGACAGCAGTATTACACGAGATGCAGTCTGTTGCAAAAAAAAAAATTAAAAGATATTAATAATGTATTTGTAGTATTATGTAAAATATTTATAAAATCCTTATTACTGTGGTATTAAGTTTATTAAATATTCATAAATGAGACAGTTAATTTTATAATTAATAATGATTATATATATATTAAAGCAGTAAACAAAGCTATCTACAAATGTTAAGAGGTTAATATTTGGATTACATCTTCATATCAGAGTCAATTTAGCCAGAACTGCTGTGTGTGTATGTGTGTGAATTTAGTCCAAACTGCTGTGTGTGTGTGTGTGTGTGGGTGAATTTGGTCCAAACTGCTGTGTGTTTGTGAGTGTGTGTGAATTAAGTCAGAACTGTCGTGTATTTGTAAATTTATTCAAAACTGCTCTGCGTGCACTTATTTGAGTGTGTGAATTTATTCAAAACTGTTGCGTATATGTGTGAATTTAGCTCAAACAGCTGTCTATGTGCGTGTGTCAATTTATTCAAAACTGTGTGTGTGTATATGTGTGATGTAAGTTTGAGAATTTATCCAAAACTGCTATGTGTGTGTGTCTCTGTGTGATGTAGGTTTGTGAATTTATTCAAAATGGCTGTGTGTGTGTATGTGTGTGTGATGTATGTTTGAGAATTTATTCAAAACTGCTGTTTTGTGTGTGAGAGAGAGAGTGTGTGTGATATAGGTTTGATAATTTATTCAAAACTGCTGTGTGTGTGAGATGTAGGTTCGATAATTTATTCAAAACTGCTGTATGTGTGTATGTGAAATGTAGGTTTTATTTTTTCTTCAAAACTGCTCTGTGTGTGATATAGGTTTGTGAATTTATTCAAAATGGCTGCGCGTGTGATGTAGGTTTGATAATTTATTCAAAACTGCTGTATGTGTGTGTGTGTGTCTGAGATGTAGGTTTGTGAATTTATTCAAAACTGCTGTGTGTGTGTGTGATGTAGGTCTGTGTATATATGCTGGGTGATTTAATGATAAAATGGAAAGATTCTATGCAACACATTTAACCCTTTAAAAGGACTGAACCAGACTCAGAAAAATGAGAAATACAAGTTTCCCTTTTGTCTGTCTTCATATTGTCCTTTTACAGATATGTTTTTAGTTCTGCCTGAAATATTAA